CCAGGGTTGTACAAGGGAAGATGGAGGGCGTTCTGCTGCCAGCAGCATCTTGCAAAACCGTTCTGGAATTAATAGAAGTACAAAAAACCTTACAGCTTGCCAGATCTTCCTGCCAAATGCTACCATTACTGGCTTTACTGTTATCAGCTACTTCCGTCGGCTCCTGCAGTCAGCAAAATTCAGGAGCTGTAATAACAGCTCATACTTACCTGATGCATCTTCAGCTCCAATAGATGAACCTGTCAGTGAGCTCAGCAGCTTGGCTAGCTTGAGCAGAAACTCCTGTTTTGTTCAGTCTAGTGGCAGAGAAAGTTTTTTAGGGTCCTGGCAGCAGTCCTTGAGCCTGACTTCATCTGTTGCTTGGGTAACAGCGGAAGACTTTCCTACTCTGGAAGTGGGAAAACTGGTGAGTGAACAGCATGAACAAGAGGGGTGGCCTGTCTCTGCAGAATCGTGCAGTGTAAGCCTCAACAATCAAACTCTTTGGGATTCACAGTTTTGCAGCTCTTCTGTGAAGGAAGGAGATAGAGGAGGATAATGTATTGAGTTCACAGCCTAGTTGGACTGACAGTATTTCTGCAACTGATAAGTTAGAGAGAGCGTCCTCTTCAAAGACTGAGTGTTCACACGGAAACAGTTCCAGGTTGTTACAACATCCCTTGGAATTTGGGGTAAAAAGCATTTGCCCAAAGACTAATAGCAGAAATTATTCTTACCCAGAAAAATCCCACAACTCCCTTTTTCACAAGAGAGATGCCTCAGCTTCTAATCACATAAAAGTAGCACAAGTGTCTCAGACGGACTCTATGCTTTGGGACGAGCTCCCATTCTCGGAAAGCCTAAATGAATTTTTAGCCAGAATAGAGGATGACAAGAGTGTTGTAACATCACCCAGCCTTGATGCAGGCAAACAGGCCCTTCTTGAAAGTAGCAAGTTGGGTGTGAATCTTAACAAATCGCATCCCAGGCAAACCCTAGTAGCTGATGACTTGCCTGAAGCGAGTATCTCGGGGAGGTTCTTGCCACCAGCAGAGAATGATAGTTGGGAGAACATATGGTTTGCTTGTCTTCAGTCAAATGCAAATCCCCTGAGTGATGAGGTGTCACAATGTGAGTTTTCCCCTAGTGTTTTATCTTCAACTGACAGGGAAGGCGGAGCATCACGCTTTATACCTAACCCTCATCTACCTGTTCTGTCACAGTCCTTGCCAGCTACATCAGAGCCTTCTGTTTCCGAAAGAAGATACGTGCAGTCCAAAGAAGCAAATACTGACATTTCAAAGTCAGCTTGGTCTTTTATTAGTCTGCAGTGTACTGCTGAACATGGAGAAACCTCCTGTTTAAAAAGGAGCGAGGCAGCTATGTGTGTGCATTCTGCACATGATAGCTGTTTAGCTGGTTGTGAAAATAAAGAAAATTCTTCTACACCAAGCCAAAGAACTAATCTTACATTCACAGGGGCATGGGACGCTGATCCAGCAACTCCTGACAATACAAGAAGGATATATAAAAGAGAATTAAAGCCATTGACAGAACTATCAGAAAATACCTTCAAAAGTGTCAATAGGAAAGAGATGCTGTGGAACAGTGTCTTCCCTGAAGGCAGCTACAATGCTTCTGCTGATCTCTTTGATGCAAGTGCAAGAGAGGTAGCAAAACCTGTAGAATTCTTAAATAAATCATGTAATTCTTTAACACAGGAAGATACTTTGACAGAAAAGGTCACAGCTCCTGAATTGGTGCTTTATCCTGGAGATGTTCCCTGTGACAGTTCAAAACCGAGCTCATCCCTGCGCAGGTCCGCTCCTGCTTTTAATAAGTACAGTACACCAGTAACTTACTCCTTTTGTGATTCAGAGTGCAATTCACTTAGCACTCAAGACTTCGTTCCTTATTCGCAGTCAACTCCTATGACAAAACCTCTCCAGAAACTGTGGCCTGTTAGGG